AAAATGATAAGTCGCCTGTTGCGTTCTGGCAAAGAATTATTTGACGACTCAGGACACAAACAGTCACTTGATACCAACATTTTTATTCATTTATGGTATCTTCCTCAGCCAGCCATTTTAATATTTAGGAATAGCATTGAAGGTCATGTTGATGACTGGCGAAAAGTTTCATTTTTCACAGGTTTTTTTTTCCTTTCGAGGTAAAACGTCAATACTCTTGTATGCAGTAATATTTTTAATTTTGGATTTTCTAGCGTCAAGCGAAAATTGTTTACGAATATCGCCCGGCGCAATCTTCTGTTGAGTTTTAGAGACATATTTGATTTTCAAATCGTTTCCAGTTCTGTTGTATTCGTATTAACGGCTCTTACATAACGGATTAGTTTGGAATTAAAAACCCAAATTCCTTAAAATGTTATCTGATAGTTTATTAGTTCTTGTTTTCACTGTTTTTGTTAAAAAAGGGTTTGATCACAGTTTTCATTTTTCCTTCAAGTTATCAAAAATTGGTAACAACAGGTTCACCTACTCAGACCTGCTCACGATAGTGACCAAAGGGATCTTCGGTTGCTTGTAAGCAGCTTCCCCAGCAGTTATGACAATGAAACATCATGGTTTGCTCCTAAATATTTGTTAAATGCTGCTATAAAAATCCTCCCCGCCACCTCCCCCATTGAAAAAATATACCCATCCCAATTATCGAAACTACCGGAAAGTGAAACCTCCGGTAAATTCCGAGTGATCAGAAGTACCTTACATTAGGAGGAAAAATCAATCGTTCTTTGGAGAAAGTTTCGATGAGTTTCAGGAAAAGCCTTTTCATAGTTTCGGAATCTATGGAAAAAAGTTGACCTATTCAGGAAAAGGCCTTTCAAGTCAAATTCGTTCACCAAGTTTTCGAACATAATTACTCACCTCGGCCCTCACATAGAAGACATTAATAGATATATAATCCAAGGAACTGCTCATGGATTTCGTGATTATAGTTTTTTCGTGATGTTTTGGCAGATGTTCAAATTGCATCTACCTACGCTGGTCTAATGACCAAAACACTTAAAATTTTCACTCACAAGTTGCCCGTAAATGACGAAGTTCTCCCTTATTCAAGCAGTTTCATATACATATTTGCATAAATCGCTCAGAAGTTGCGCGACATTTTTAAACTGTGTATGCCTGCCGCAGTCTATCACAATCAATGACGTGTTTTGAAGGACTATCAATCTTTCAATCTCGATGATTTGATTTAGACCTTCCTTTTCCTGAAATAGGCTAAAATCAGATTTCTGAGCTAACTGTTTCTGTATATGTTGTTGCTCAGCCCATAAAAAATTCGTTTTAGCAGCTGTGTATAAACTCAAAAGTAGAGAAACCATGGTGCGGCTCACTTTTCAGGCATGTTTTCCCACCTTAGCCGACACTAAGTTGATCTCAAAGACCATGAGATGCTTATGACGAATCTCCTGGTCGATCTGACTTGACGCGAATCACTCTGTGACCAAGGACTTGGCCTCACTCCTAGCTGACTAATAAACTGACCAACTTACGGATAGATTGACCGACATGCTGACTGACTTACTGACTGACTGACTGACTGACTGACTGACTTATTGTCTGACGGACTGATTGACTGAATGACTGAATGGCTGACTTACAGACTGATGGACTGACTTACTAACCGACTGACTTACTGACTGACTGACTGACTTACTGACCGACTGAGATACCAACGTATTCACAAGTACGACAATGATAAGGATAAAAAACAGTTTTGCCAAGAACTGATGTAACGAAAGACAACTTAAAAATTGCCTGCAGTCAAAGTTTTCACCGATGGCATATGCTTTCGGTAGATAACCAGAAAAAAACAGTAAAATTTGTTAAGGCATGACTTTTTTGACCCTCTTTGGTCTTCGAAATTTAGGTGAAATCTCCTTAACTTTATTTCCTTACAAATTATCCTCTCATAGCTTTAGCCTCTCCTCAGTTGATTTATATTTATTTCTTAAGCTTCAAAATTTGGATTCGAAAGTTTGAAGCGTATACGTAGCGTCTCTTTTATCTTCTACATCGTTTTCAAACCTCTTGTTAGCAATTCTTTTGGGGCACACTGAGAACAGGATTTTGAGGTAGCCTCCCCGGTAATTCTTGTTGCTTATCCCATATATGAACGGATTCACACAGCTGCTGACGAATACCAGAAGAGAAAGGAAATGATGTAATTTGGTATCCAGTCGCGCTTTTCCCATTACTGTCAAAGCGTAGTTGGTTTGACTTGGCGCGAAACAAATGATGAGCACGAAGCAAGCGGCGCCGACCATGCGCGTCATTTTCCCGCGTAATTTGGCCTTGCTCTCAGCCGAGGCGACATTGGACCTGCTTGCCTTACAAACCATGTGAATGAACAGGCACAACATGGTTAGGCTTGGAAGCACCATTTTGAACAGGACTTGAATAGTTCCAACAACAGCACGGACTGTATTTTGGCCCCAGAGAAACTTCCATTTGCATCGGCGGCTAGGTGAATTCGAAGGAACGAAAACGACTTCGAATGGGGTTGTAATGACTAGGAGTAGCGACCATAGCCACACGAGGAAGATGTAAACGAGGGTTCGCTTCTTGTTAAAGACTTCTTGGTATTGAAATGGCCTTACCACTGCATACCACCGCTCTGTTGCCAAAGCCATACAGATGTACGCGGAGAAGACCACTAACTGAAACAGAATCACACGACTCCATATGAATCGGCAGAAGATATCACCAATGACGTGATTTGTAGGATAAGGAAACACGTTACCGAGGACAAAAGCTGGGTTGGTGATGAGAAGTAAGGCAGTCATAACATCGGATACGGCCAGGGACAGAATCAGTATGTTGTATGATTTCCTTAGAAGTTTCTTGTTCTCGACAAAGACGAGAATAACCAGGGTGTTTCCTACCATAGCGACGATGGACAGAATGGAGTATGTAACACGTGTGAAGTTGGTTATTCCAGGTAGAGGCTGGCTTGATGATGGAGTCGATGAGTTAGAGACATTCATACTCGTCTTCTGGATAAGGGTACCCCACTCTACTATCTTTGTTCTTGGCAAGTTCAATCAATTCGTACTTACTTTTCAAAGTATTTAGGTAATCTGAAGATAAATGGAAACATACGCACATCTTAGTTTGATCATTTACAACATTTCTTCGTTCGAAATTTCTGGTCTGTTACAAGCAGGTTAGTTGTTATAGATAACTGATTTGAGATGACGGGAGGTGGATGCAACAGGGACTGCAGGCATTAATTGTGGCACGACTAATCTAACAAGGTCATGGAAAGTGTAAGCGCCAAAGCAAAAGATCTTTTGTTGTGGGATTAAATTAGGCACAGCCACGCGGCAAGTAGCGACCAACATTTTGGCAAGTCTTGGGCTAACCTCTCACCTACAACATAGGAAAAAAATTCCTTTGGAACAGCTGTGTTGAGAAATGGTTCACTCTCGGCGGTCCTTGAAAAGGATACAAGGTAAAGCATAAGTTCGTGATACGCGTTGCGGTTAATGGCCAATAAACACTTTCCCCTTCGATATTTCAAGCTAAGCCTCATTAGACGTATATGTATATCCATACTAATATTGATTTCAATACATCTTTTTTATGCATTTGATTCCAGTCTGCTTCGGGATCTCGGTGAAACATGAGATTATTAGTTCTCGTCTTCTTACATTCAAGCAACATATTTTTATTATTTTGATTATTTTGATGCGCTAATTTCCTCTCGACTAATCTTCTATCTTTCCTCAACGGGACAAGTTTTGTCCAAGTTCCCATCGAAGTTTAATCGGCAATAAATTCAAATTGTACGAGAACTGGTCAACAAGTAATGAAGGAAGTAGAACACTCGATCACACTGATCTCCATGATAAAGCAGGCACAGGATCAGTGAATAAAAAAAATAGACCCGTAAGCAGAGTAATCTGCGAAATAACAACATTCGGAGAAGTTAGTCGGATGAACCCCATCTAGGGCCATCAAAAAGCGATAAACTAAACCTACCAAGTAAGCTGAAACTGCCTCGCTTTGCCTATGATACTCCCTAGAACATTTCTTTAACTCTGGGTTTTCGCATGAAATCCTGATGGCAGAAGTTCGTTTATTGTGTTTTTGTCGCTTTTTTTCGCACGACTTTTATTGCGGATCGAAAGTCGCTGATTTGCGTTGGCAAAGTGACTTTGTTTTTAGCGATAAAAGAAAAATCAATCTGCATTTAGCAGCAATTTTTAAATAATTTGTTTGTTCTTGATGGAGTTCGCCTCTTTTGCGTTTCTGTAAATGCCTACATTGTTTTTCTCCGCTTAGTGCAAGAGTACTTCTTAAATTTTTGATCTTCCTGATAATGATCGTAATGGTTATTTGCTAGTTCTCAATACGTCATGAAAATCTCAACATAATTAAAAAAAAGCTTTGGGATCAATTTTTGAAAAGACTTGGTCAGAGTCCAATTTTGAATTCAAGATGAATCAAAGAACGCTTGCACGATGATTATGGCTTTCAACAACTGATTTCTAACACGAAATAAAAAGGATCCCCAAAATTTATCAAAACTCTTCTACCAGAGCGTATGGATACATTTCAATCACTGTTTAAGTGTCTCCGGTCGGTACCTGTCATCCTTTCTACCAGAGATTTCGTCCCACCTGGTGTGAAATATGATTTTTCATAATTTAGGGTTTTACAATCGTTTCACTAATCAAATCAACGGATGAATTTTTAAGCATATTTTACGCAGACGTCAGGATTGCTGTAATGGCTCGAATCTGCAACCGCAGGAGTTTTTAATCAATATACCTCTTTAGTTTCATTTTATTGTTGTGTTGAATTAACAATTTCGTCTGAGAGTCTTTTCAAAGTAATAACCTGATAAAGTATGCTATCCTTGATTGGTCATAAACAAATAACAACTTGAAAGTCACCATTTTCCAATCTTTATTTACAGAATATGCAAGTAAGAAATCTCGCCATCGCTGCTCATTTGACATGTTATGGGAGAATAAAGTCTTAAATGATTTCAAACCACATTGAAATTTTTGTTGCTATACCATGTTCGCCGTGGATCAATTTTCAATTGTGTGTCGAAAGTTTATGCGAGATTGTAGTAGTTTTGATTTACTCCGCTCTGTAATTGCCGTCCAAAAAATTTGCGCCAACCTCTCAACTAATCAGTTGCAAAACTAAAACAAATCACGACTTGATCGGCCGCGTTTCCGCGTTTTGGGCAGTTTGTTTTTTTTTCCCATTATTATTATTTGTTATTTTGAGTTTCTGTCTTTTGATTATTTTGTCGCTGTGATTACTATGGTTTTGGTTCCACGACATCCAATCAATAAGCGCTGCATATATAGAGGACTATACACCAATGGACAATCGCAACTACTTTATGATGCATTTAGTTGTTTCTTTATAAAATGAGACGAAAAAGTTCTCGTTCCTTTTCGACACTATTACTTAACTTGTTATATGCCAGTGGATTCTCTTGAGTGATCAAATGGCCGTGAATTAATTTTTTGTTTAGATTTTTGACACGAAAAAATCAGTTTCCCTCGTAGAAACGTAGTTGAGAAGAAATTACTCGCTGTGTTACTAACCCCACGGAATGCCTTAAAGTAACTCGGATCTGAATTTGAACAAAACTGTTGTCAAATTGACGACGAATAATGAAAATGATATGAATATCCTTATCAACTCGCTCTTTTCATCCTTGCGAAAACCACGCTTGAATTTCTCCGCATTAGTGTGCTAATCTATAGGATTTTATACAGAAAAATCAGAGCACTCTTGACAACCTTTTCCCTCCATCTTTACGTTACAATTTGTCCTTTGATGGAATTCTTAGCGAAGGGCACGAGTGTCTTTGCAACCACACCAAAATTACGTCTTTAAAACACTCGCAGGAACCTTTTCGGTGCGAGACCTTTTTTGCTTGACAACTACTGAGTCGGTATCCCGAGTAAAATTACCATTTATCCGCAATAAAACCGTTCCTTTGAAATTGAGTCAGTCCACCATGACAGCATGTCCTCTTTGGTTCCTCTTCAAATAAGTCCAGAATTGATTAATACATATCGGATAATCAAGTCATTTCTGAGCTCCGATAGAGATTTCCCATGGTACTTGGTTTTTTCTTCTTTTACAGCACAAATCGCTGGCCTTCTCTTTCTTTGATTCAGCTTTTTATCTCCTTCTAAGCGCCCATTCATGTGGGTCTTATCAGTTGGACATAGCGATTTTTCGTTGCCTTCAATCTCGACTTTCAAATTCCTGCCTTTCTGGTATCTGAAAACGTGCATTCTTTCTTTTTTACCGAAAAAAGACACTAAACGTCTCCAACCTGGAACTGTCTGCTTTTGGCGTTGATGTACAGGCAATTTTTTCTTCATAGTTTTTAGTCTGTCAGTCGTAACGGTTTTGATATACAATGAAAATATTTGGGCGAAGAACTTATTTTGAGCCAAAAGCAAACAAGTATTTCTCAATGACATCACTGAACTAATTAGTGAACTTTCAACAAAACAAACGATCAAATATAACAACGCCCAGATACAGAGGCACTTAACTGTACTGCGTGACCGAATAACCAGATAGGTAGGTAGCTATACACTTTATTGTAACTGGAAACGGCCTGGCTGAAAATGGCTTTCGGCCTGAGTAACGAAAAAAAGTCGTTATTAAGAGCAAATGGCGAACAGAGCACATTTCTGATGACTTAAAGTCTCTAATGCTAAGGTGCAGATCGTATTTACTACAAAGAGTCGGGTTTTTTTCTCGATGGTTGTTCTTAATTGTTGTCAATTATTTAATTAGTTTCCATGGGAATCCTGAACCGAACAAATAAACCATCGACTGGTCAATAATAGCCTATTTTTATCGCAAGGAGATCAGATGGACCCGGTACAAATGCATCATTCATTTATAATACTGTTACAAAACATGATCTCGGCCACAGAAGTAAATTTTTTTTTTCGGATAGGGAGCATAATTAAAGCCAAAGACTTTAGTCTCCGTTATAGCCCTATGAAATACTAAATTAGAATCACACAATAGTTCAATGTTAAATTAATTTAAAAGCTATAAGATTCCATGAGTTCAGAAACTGTGAGGCGTAAATATCCTCTTGATAAAATCAAATTAAGTAACTTCATTCAGATTTCTCGAGAGTGAAAAAGCGGACCAAATCATTGATATTTTCCTACAGTTTAACAGCATTCTAAGAAAAAATTGCTTCATGCATTTATAGTTGGTATGTGGAATCGGAAGGAGATAGGATAACTTTGACTGGTGTTCCTTTTCTCTGGGAAAGAATTCATAATCTGCGAATCGATCTTTTCAGTATTTATATTGAATACGACATCCAGTTTTATTTCAGATCTCACACGCTATTATTAATATTCTGTGGAAATGATATGAAGACTAGGTTTTCTCTCACATGTGCGGGGAATAGTCTTGAAAGGGGCATCATTTTTTTTGCATTTAAAATTTTCTTATTGTTTTCACGGTTGTGAGGGGAGATCATTTACGGCAAGTTTCCTTCATGAATAATATATGCGCACATACTTTTTTTCAGATTTAACGCTGGTGATGTGGATGACATATCATCATGATAACAGGTTTTTTGACATTTTGAGAATCATGTTCCTTCATATTCTGTCTCAGTAGTAGAAGTCAGAAGATAAGTGACTCGTTGCTGACAAAGATTTGCTCATTACCTTTATATTTTTTAATTATTTGAAAGATTAAACAACGGTGCCTAATGTATGTCAACTTTCTTTTCTAATTAGTAAGTAGTTTTTGCTTGAGAAAAACTTCGAAATTAGACCATAGGAGATTAGAGACAATATTTGATTCCATTAGAAAACATGACAATCAGAGACTTCGTTACAATAAGATACCTGTTTGGAAGAGGTCTTTTTTTTTTTAAATATCGTGAGAATTTTTTTGCTATTCGCAAACAATGTTTACTTTTAGCAAGACATAACTAACCCATAATTCATTTAAGTATATATAGAGATGATCTAATGACTTTTTTCAACCTCCTAAAGTCTCCCAATGTGACAGTACAAGATCTTGTCACAACTAATCATCAATTTAGATCCCATAATGATGACCGCCGCTTACACAATTTTCATTATTTGATTTACCTTACGACGTAGGTGTTAATAAGAGTGAGCCATTTGAACAAAATATTATAAAGACTTCAAGACTTTCCTTCGCGCGAGATTGCTGTTTTTTTTTTTTTTCAAGTAAAATGTGCTTTTGCTCCTAATAATTCAGGAAAGAAAGAGGATTAACTTGACATATGTATTCATACTTAATTTAAAATTTGCTCTCTGTAGGTGTGGTTCAAGCATCAAAAATAAATTCAATTTTCACCTTAACACCGAAGCAGTAGTCTCTTTCCAAAAACAAGAGCATGAACTTGAGATATTTTTTCACATTGAATTTGAATTTTTCTCCTTGAAGGTGTGGTTCAAGTATCAAAATTAAATTCAAATCTCACCTCAATCCCGAAGCAGCTCTTCCCAAAGCCAATGAATTCTTCCTTCGTTTTCCTCTGTTAACCTCTATGGTAAAAAGTTTATTTTGTTTGAAAGTTGCTTGTGAGTCACCCTCTGAACAGATTTCGTTAACCCGCCGCTATCAGATGCGAAGGTTTTTCAATCGAAACAGATATGTTGTAGTGCTGTAAGTAAAGTGTGGTAATGTTAATTTTTCGTTATGGTAATATCATAAGTCTTAGCATGTGTCTTTATACACAAAATTCCCAAGCAACCGAGAGTCGATTTACCAGACTATAATGTTCGGCCGAAGCGTTCAAAACATGAGTTAATGGAACTCTTAAGCTAAACCAATTTCTTCAAGGAAAAATTTTTCTGCAATAAATGGACAACATCTATTTAAGCGCAAACCTCTTGTTTCAGTGTCCTATGACTTTTCCCAGGCTTTTACTTTTCGTGTGCCAGGAGCTAAAAGACTCTAAGGACTTTTCTATGGTTCATAGTGAACAATAACACTATCAATTTTGGGACCATATACGTCTCGGCGCGTTTCGGCAAATATTCACTGACACTAAGCGAAACAAGATAGCTTATTTCTAAATAATGGTTTAGTTGAATAAAAGAAGCTGGCCATGTCAAGAAAGAACGATGAAATGCTTAATGGTCTTCCATTGATTAAACGTTTTCGTCATTAACTTTGTGACTTTCTGGCACAAAGAGTGCGATTGGTCTCGAGAAATTAGGCTTAGAAAGGTGCGTGTCACATTTCTTTCAAAAATTCCCTACGTACAGCAAACTTCATTTCAAACTCGGAATTTATAAAATTAAAATATTTTTCCGCGCTAAGAAACAATCCAGTTTATGTGAAAATGACGGGATAAATATACTCCATCTGATGCTGACCTTTATTTGAAATCAGCAGGTAATTTAGTGTTAACAACTGGGTTGAAAACGTAAATTAGCCACCGTAAAGAGTAAAAAAGCTGACGTTTCGAGCATTAGCCCTTCGTCAGAGCGATTCATCTGACGAAGGGCTAACGCTTGAAACGTCAGCTTTTTTACTCTTTACGGTGGCTAATTTACGTTTTCAACCCAGTTGTTAACACTAAATTACCTGCCATACTCTCCCACCGACGCAGCACCATAGTTTCTTTAGAAACTTACCTCTTTATTTATTTGAAATCAGGCAGACTTTATCAATATATTCTCCATTTTGATTGGGACGCCGGATTCAACTCGTCTCAACTTACTTTAGTTTGAACGCCCTTAAAAAATCGGCAAGTTACACCGTGAACGAGACTGCAGCGATAATCAAGCACCAAAATGATGCAATATGCGACGTTATTCTTTAATTTATATCATGGTACTGTAATTACTGCAATGGCTTTGTTGGTTGTGTTGTCTGATCGTCTGGGTGAGAATTTATATCGATACATCCTAATGCAGCAACTATAACTGACGTTTCGACAAGCTGAAGGGAAGGCATGATCAGAGTTTGGTAATTTACAATCGTTGGTCATTAGAGCGATACACTTCTGTTTGTTTCCGTCATAAAGGTCAAGGGATATTGTTTACACTAGGTCAAACTCCAAGCTTTTCCAACAAAGTGGACGATTTTTAAAGTATCGAAACTATTTTCGAAGCGCTCAATGTTGGTTCATCAAATTGGTCAGCTGTTGCGCAAGATTCCATATTTTATTTCATGCTGCCATTATATTAAAAAAA